AGCACTGCAGAAAGTGCTGGGGGGGGGTGAGGGATGTGTGTAGGCGGCGAGGAGGTGTCGTGTGCAGGGCGCGTGGGGTGGGGTGGTGTGGGGTAGGGGATCCCGAGGGCCAGATGGGTGGGGGGTGGGCTGAGGAGCTGGATGACGAAGCATGCCCCAAAAAACCCAAGCCATCGCGAGACGTGATTCAGTTGCAGTTGCAGGTTGCAGTAGCTGCTCTTCATGTATGACAAGTTCCGGAGCCACTCGTGTCGATCCAGGTTCATGCTTCGGTGCCTGCAGTACGTGTTGTGGTGCTGAGCGGTGGATGTTCAAAGCGACAGCACTGTAGAGAGTTCTGGGTGGAGACAGCACTGCAGAAAGTGCTGCAGTGAGGGATGGGTGGGGGCAGTGGGGTGAGTGGGTCTGCACCGAGGGAGTAGGATGGAGGTGCGAGGATGGCTCCGACATAGCTGTGTTGACCGACCGCAGGAATTGGCTCTATGTCCGAGATGATGAAGACTGAAGATGCACCTCGAGCGCATTTTATGCAGGGCATAGTACTTAATTCCGGTACTGTCGTTCTAAGCTAAGGAGCCCGAGTCCAAAAGGAGGCAGTTGTGGATTCTTCCCAAATAAAACGGCCTCATTCACCTAGACCCATCTTCTCCTTCCAAACCCAAAACCCAGCTCAAAAAAGGCCCAGCATCGCACACAACGGCGTGGTGGAAGTGAACCCTCCAAGACCCTCAAACTCCTGGCTCCTCGCTTGGCCCGATTACCCGAAGATAAGGTATTCAGGCTCCCTTTGTCGTGTCGTGCACCCGAAATCCTGAAGTCGGACCCAAAAACGGTTTTTCCTGAATCTCAACGCCCCACCCCTGCACCCTGAAATCCTAATAAAACCCTACACAACACTATAAATCCCTGTCAACACCCGGATCCCTAAGCCTTAAACCCTAAACCCTGAAGCTTGGCATTTGGGGTGTGTGGTTGAGCAAGGACCGGCTTGGGTTATCCCTGCAATCGGCCCTGAATTCCACTTGTGAAGGAGTCCCTGATCTGTTTAACCCAAACCCTGCACCCACATCCAAAGCCAAAGACCTTAAGACCTGAATTTGGGTTTCGGCATAATGTTTTGTCCTCCAGCTTCAGGCTTGTAACACAGCAAGCTTCGGCAACAAAGCTTACATTCGGGTTTGGGGATAGGGCTCAGGGGTTATAAACCGAAAAGCAACCTACTCCTACATCCTCACGTGGATTTCTTTGAGGATTCGTTTTTCATCTTCAGTATAGTGTAGTCCCGGGAGGGTTACCCAAAGTCTGTGTTTCTGAAAGACACGACAAGCCAAAGACCCGGATCTCTAAACCCCCATCCTAAAGCCTAAACCCTACACTCCTGATGAAAGCCATGATGCATGTCCAAGCGGGGCTCCAGCGGCAGCAATGACTGCATAGGTCGGGGCCAGGTTCAACGGTGCAGTCCATCGGGCATCAGAGTCATCAAATCAAATGAGGGTTCAGGTAGTCAGGGAGGCCCTTACTGGGTCATGAAAGGTTGCACCAGGCATCAGCCACATGCTGTAGGCATCAAAGGTTGCACTAGGCATCAGCCACATGCACTGCACTAGGCATCAGCCACATGCACTAGGCAGCAACGAGCCCTTTGCACCAGGCATCCATCGGCATCGGCATCAGCCATAGGACTAAGGGGGTGGTTAGTAGTTAGTATTCGTGTGCCGATTCTGTGTCACACCATGGCGGACGGTGCTGGCAGAGGCAAGAAGTTCAGTTTTTTGGACGGCAGTTTTCCTCGCCAACATGGCAAGGCCAAGGGCAGTGGCAGGCAGTCGCATCCATCTTCTGCTGCCAGGGGGCCACGGCCTGGGCTGGACCAGGCGGAGCAGGAGGCTGCTTCAATGGCTGGGCTGGACCAGCGGGCTGCTGCATTTGGAGCTGGGCTGGACCAGCAGACTGCTGCGGTGGCTGGGAACCCTGGGCTGGACCAGGAGGAGCCCGCTCCTGGAACTGGGGTTTGGCGGGCGAAGAGGCACGGGGACAGCAGTGTTGTCGAATTAAGCTTTGTTTCAGTGTTGGTTTAAAGTTAAAGTTTATTATGTTCTTCTTTTTAACCCTAACCCTAAACCCTATTTTTTGTTGGGGCAGGAGCACCTCCAGCCGCTTCGGTCCAAGCAGGGATCGTCGTGTGGAGAATCGCCAAGGCCTCATGCAGTCTCTCATCTCGATGAACACGACGATGGTCCAAGAGAGACAGGTGCGGGGGTTTTGCAATTTCAGTATATCCTCAACCTTGGACGGAAAGTGTCTTTAAATTCAAGTCTTCTTCCTTTCAGCCCCCCGTCTTTGAGAATCTCTCGGGTTTAGGTTTTAGGGTATGCCTGCGCAGGGGCTCATCGAGGATGCTGAGAGCTCCCGCTCCTCCAACGAGGTTCATACTGGTTGACTAAATACTTTTGCTTTTCCTTATACTTAGGTGACATAGTGTTTTTGGGGGCTTGTTAGGGTTTAGGGTTTAGGGGTTAGGGGTTTTGGGTTCGGGTAGTAACCCTGAAAGAAATCATGACCAGGCATTGCGCATTGCCAAGGAGGAGATGGCGGAGAAGCATCGCATCGCCATGGAGCAGGCCCAGGATGACTTCGAGCAGCAGATTCAGAAGGCGGTGGAGGTTGCACGGTGCGAGGAGCGGCAGATCGCCGAGGCGGAGAGGAGGGAGCTGGTGGCCGAGCACGAGAGGTCTCTGAAACTGGCTCAGGCCGGGATTTCTTCGAAATCATGCAAACCCTAACCCTAAACCTCAAATCCTAAGTCAAAAAGGGAGGCTTCAAATATCGGGTTGTATACACACCCCTGAAAGGATGCGGCTCCTCGGGCACAAGATTCCTATGAAAATGCTCGCAAAGCATGGAAGCTGGTGGAGCAAAACTACAAGAACCTTCTCGCTGCAAAGGACCGGGCGGTCAAAGCTGCCGAAAGCAAGGCTGAGAACTTCAAGGAGCAGCTGGAGTCTGCAAAATCCACAGCCGAGGCCCACTATGGCATCCGCAATGCGCTCCGGCAGGAGGTGCATGCACAGGCTGAGCAGATTGGTCATCTCAAGACCGAAGTCCAGCACCTGAAGGCTGAGCTGACGGCGATGGACGAGCCGGCTGCAGCGAAGAAGCGTCAGCGAAAGTGACATGTGGCTGCTTCTGCTGGGTGAAAAAAAATCGGCCGAGTTCAGGTTTCCACCTCCCGGGCCCCACCACCCCAGCATTCACTGCTGCAAGCCTCCACATCCCAGGCATCAACATTCGCCTCCAACTGCGATGACGAGGCCGGCTGTTAGGCAGGCGACTTTTTGTGCCCTTCAGATATCAATTTCCTTCTGGAACCGGCAGACCATTACAGATATGGGTGTGGGGGGTTTGGGCATTGTGTAATTGTGTGTTAGCTTGATATGTTTTGCTTCTTCTGGCTCAGTCTCGACAAGCCTCAAGTCTTAGACCAGAAACTCTCAAACATAAATCCTCAAGCTTAAACCTTAAAGCCTGAACCCCAAACCCAAAGCCCCGAACCCTAAACCCCAAACCCTAAACAAGCACCCTACTTCCCACTCTTTCGCTTCTGCTTCCGGGGCGATTCTTCGGGTTTGGGGCCTCAGGGTTACCTGTGTAATGTACACCTCTCATGCCAGACTTATTCCATCGTTTGCCGACGGTTATATTCCGAAGCAAGCCTTGCTAGAAGGTTGCGAGCTCAGGCGAGCTATTTTTCAGTGTTTGTTTCGTTTGTGATTGTCTGTGGATTCCTCCATCTTTATTCGGTCCTTCACGGTCACGTAACTAGCTTCGTGTCCGTATAAGCGCCTTTGGGGTGTGCAGCAAGCAGGAGTATCAACAATCAGAATTCAGACGTCTGAGCAGCAGTCACACGAGCAACATAGCAGTGCTTCTTTATGTCAGAAAGTTGGTACTGGTACAGTGTATGATGATGTAGTAGGGTATAGGAACAAGGGGCTTAGGGTTTCGGGTTCAATGACGGCGGCAGCAATTGAGCCTATTCGGGCCCATGCAGGCCCATTTTGAAGACGTTGCTTTTTGCACTGGGAGGCCCGTGGTTTAATCTCGTTACAGGAGTCGAAATACTGAGAAATAAAAGGCCCTTAAAGTCCCGCTGCAGGACCATCCTCTCATGTCTACACACAACAAACCTGGTCTACTTGTTGAGGCCCCTACATTACCCTAAACCCCAAGCCCTAAAACCCTAAACCCTGAAGCCGTGGAAGCCTCAATCAAGGCCCCAGCCCGGCCTCGCAGAGCGCCGCCAGGCCTGTGGGAACAAACTTTTGGGTTTGGGGCACAAAAACGAAGGGTTTAGGGTCTAGGGTTTAGAAAACCTTACTCCTAAACCCTAAACCCTAAAACGAAGGGCTCTTGATGACGCAATACCTCTAGCATCATGGGGTCAGGTGCTTTCTGCACAAGCTTCGAACAAAAACCTTCATCAGGAGTTTCAGGTCCTGATGTTCTTAGTGGGATGAGTTCGGGAGTTGGGGGATTAGCGATTTCAGGGATGGGCATTATTCCTTCGGCAGAAAGCGGTCTCTGTCTTGTAAGTATCGTTTTTTGGGATCCTGTGTGTCATGTCGTTTTAGAAATGTCGGACATCAGCGGCATAAGCATCATAAACCAAGTAGTTAGCATGCTAATTATGTCCAAGAGACCTGGTAAAGATGGTTCCCATAAAGATTCGGGAAGTATTCTGAAATGACCCCATCATTGAAGTATTGGTCATCGTCCTGATATCTTATTGTTCCAGACCATGTCTTCTGATCTCAGGTTTTGTCATCTCTGTCAAGCCTTCCTCGGCCTCCGGACTCATGGACACTGAGACACACGGAGAGAAGGAGAGAGAGAGAGAGAGAGAGAGAGAGAGAGAGAGAGAGAGCAAGCACGAGAGCGACTGCCAGTGCGAGACAGAAGCGAACAGACCAACAGTTTTGCACACGATGATGTGGTTATGGTTTTTGGGGATTCGGTATATAGTTTTACATGTGAAACGGCATACCCCATGCACATATCCGACCTTATCCTTTTCCGCTATGCGGCATTGAATCCATGCCACATGTCGTCCGAAGTCCTCCCCAAGACTACTCTATCATGTGGAGTATTGTGCCTTCTGGTCTGGGGTCCATGGTCGGATGGTGTCGGAGAGGTGGAGCCATGCGGGGGTGGAGCGACATTTCTTGGGGACCTTAGCTGTGCGAGGTGGAGACTCTGGACTTAAGTAGCCCCAGCCTAGGAGCCTGGATCTTTTTGCTGTTTTTTGTGCACCTCACACGTATCCGTTTCCTTCTGCGGGTGCGAGGCGGAATGGTGCTTCACGGACACGGAACACCCAGCTCCGGTTGCGTTCGGAGCTCATTCGGGCATTGCAACGTAGTGTAGACTTCCTTCTGCTGGTTCTCCGGCTCTTCTTTGCTCGGCCCAGCTCGTTGCTGCCTGCTCGCTGTTCGGTTCCAGCTTTCTGCTTCTGGCTTTTGTTGTTTCCATTCGCCATGGCTTCTGCGGAGGACTCGATCATTCTCGATTTCTCCAATATGGACATTCCAGGTCCTTTCGATAGCGACCGTGACGAGGAGTTCTCCAACGACGGGGATAGTTCTGATGACCATATCGAACCTTGGGTTCGCTATCCGAAGCCTGGTGGAATCGGCAAGTCTTCTGACGGTGGCATGTCAGAGGTTACCGATGGGAAGTCCGTGGCGGATGGAACAGAATCTTCGGCTGGCCAGGCTGGGAACTCTTTGGATGGCAAGCCTTCCGCCGTCAAGGCCAAGGCCAAGGCCCAGGCCAAGGCTGCTTCCGATGGCAAGCCCATGGCTTCGGCTGGCAGCCGCGAGACCCCGGCTGCACCACATGACAATTCCGAGATGCCAGGCGGAACGCCGACTCCGGAAGCCGATGAAAAATCACAGCGTGCCCAAGCCATCCTGGCATATTACAATGGGTTGTTCGGGCGCAATGACTTCGTCTTCATTGATGCCGACGGCGGCTTTCATTGTGCTGAGCCTGCTGAAGATGATGTGGCCATGCGGAGCTGAAAGCGGCTTTGCAATCTTGCAGCCACAGCAGCCTCTGCTGCGTAGATTTTGACCCGTCCGAAGCCTTGGCTTTGCCGTGAGGGCTTCGATGAGAATGGCCTGTTTGCATCCGTACAAAGCCGTCTGAGTTATCCTGAGCGAAGGAGCAGCCCGGCAAGGCCATTTCACGATTTTGATTTCAATGCTCAGGCAGAGACCAGAGAGGTGTCAGAGCATAGTCGATGTTAAAACCATGACCGAGTGTGCTGCAGCTCTACGGCTGTGTCCGACTGTTACATCCTCGTGCGGCTATGATCACAGAATCTTTCAGTCATGTCATGACATGACCACATGATCGCTCAGGTGTCCTCCCTTTGGGACCATTGCGGCACGGGGCCTGGTGAGGCCTCCGTGGCCACGGTGCGATTTGTTGGGCATGGGGACCGGGGAGCATGAGGGCCTAGTCAATACTGCTTTGGGATTTCGGGACATGGCATCTACTTGAGATCCCATACGAACGGTGGGCTCCAGGCCCAAATAGCGGCATGATGAGCAGCATCAAGGGTCTTTTGGGCACGTTCTTTGACGTGTTCATTTAGATCCTAAAAGAACTTTGGGCTGGAGGCACAACGGCTGAGAAGGTTTGGGTCACCCACACCCACATGTCTCAGTCATGTCTCTACCGTCGGCGGTCTGTCTGTCGCAGAGGCTGGTTCCTCAGAGTGCCCTGCATTTCAGTTGCTCTAGCAGGTCCTCTTTCTGGTATGTCGTGCTTCACTGCATGGACACTCGGGGTTCTGGTCGGGTGGCAGCACTGCACAAGTGTTGAGGGGCCCTGAGGGGGGTGTCACCTGGGTTCTTCATCACTGCAGAAGTGTTGAGAAAAATTGCGGGTCAGGCCTCGGGGAAAAAGGGGGGGGGGGGGGGGNNGGGGTTGTGGGGTGAGGGTGGCAGCTGGCTTAACAAGTGCTGAGGGGGGTGTGGGGTGTCACTGAGGCTGCCAGCTGGCGTGGCTCCCTGCAGTGCACATGCCGGGTACCCGGACTTAGACACAGAAGTACTGACACATGATGCCTGTCATTGCCAGGGCCGCTCTGCTGAGGGGCTTTCAGAATCTTTGGGTGTAAACTTCAGCTCCGAAGCTTCGAAGCTCGGCGATCATCCTGCTGGCGACACAGGGCTCGCAGCTGAGCCTACTCAGTGATATCTTGCTCCTGAGTACTTGGATCAGGGTTTGGGGTTTAGGGTTTCGGGTCTCGTCAGCGGGGCCCTTAAGCCTTAGGCCCAAGCTGCAAGGACTGTACCTTGCACGGGGCTTCTGAAATCGCTTCCCGTGCTCTTTGGTCCAATCTCTTTTGCTGGCTACCCGGCCATTGCTGAGGCTTCTCTCAAGCTGCCCCAAGCGAGGAAGCAGGGTGCCCATCGCTTGCACTGGTGTTCGTGGTTTCGCTTGTCGTGCTAAGAGTACCTAGCAGCTTATGCTTCAAAGCCCGGCTATTGAAAAGGATACTAGTTTCTAGAAGACAAAAGACAATCGGGTCGAGTTTCGCACGGGCTCATTCCGGGTCTGGGAACCATGTTTTTTTTTGCAAGATTTGCCTGAAAGCATGCTCTTGCAACTCTACATGCTTTGAACACGATTTTAGTAGATACATAAGAGGGAATTCTAAAGCAGCAGGGGTTTAGGAACGAGCCGGGTACCCGGCCACCGCAGCTAGAAACTACCAGCACATGCATAGCAAAGAGTTGTGTACCAAACCACAGACAGCCTCATGAACATGCCGGGCACCCGCCAAAGCCCGTGCATAGAATACGACACTGTGGCTAGCACCATATGGTTGGAAAATGCCGGTAACCTGACCCAAACTGAGGCTTGCTTCACTTGACCCTGCATGAAATGAACGGACGAAGCCGGGTACCCGGCGCTTTTGCACTGGGGTTCGTGCTATCTGTGCTTGAAATAAAGATAAGTCCGATATGTCTGTCCCAGCATACCCGAAGACATCCTGCTTGGCACAAGGATTCTGAGCAATGCCGGGTACCCGTTCTGGCAGATTCCACTTGTCACGATAGGTATCCTGACTAACCAGGTACCGTATCAGAAACATAATTGCTTTTTGCATAGTGGATACATGAGAGAGGAGATCTGAAGCAGCAGATGTTTATGAACGAGCCGGGTACCCGGCCACACAACGGGTACCCGGTGTGGCTGGCTCCAGTGTCAGTATAGGAAGCTTACAACAAAAGTAGCCTTAGCCAAAGCAGGCAGCCGGATAAAAGAGTTCTGCACAAGACCACAGACAGCTTCATGAACAAGCCGGGCACCCGCCGAACTCCATGCATAGAACACGACAGTGTGGCTACTACCACAGGGTTTGAAAATGCCGGTAACCAGACCCAAACTGAGGCTTGCTTGACTTGACCCTGCCTGAAATGAAGGGACGAAGCCGGGTACCCGGCGCTTCTGCACTGGGGTTCGTGGTTTTTTTTCTGCTTGAAATCAGACTAAGTCCGACATGTCTGTCCCAGCATGCCCGAAGACATCCTGCTTGGCACAAGGATTCTGAGCAATGCCGGGTACCCGTTCTGGCAGATTCCACTTGTCACGATAGGTATCCTGACTAACCAGGTACCGTATCAGAAACACAATTGCTTTTTGCATGCTGGATACATAAGAGAGGAAATCTGAAGCAGCAGAGGTTTGTGAACGAGCCGGGTACCCGGCCACAGAACGGGTACCCGCTGTGGCCGGCTCCACTGTCACTCTAAAAAGCTTACTAATCAGGTGGCCTTAGCCAGCAAGCAGCTAGAAAGTACCACTACAGACATCGGAAAGAGTTCTTGGCCAAACCACAGACAGCTTCATGAACATGCCGGGCACCCGCCGAAGTCCGTGCATAGAACAAGACAGTCTGGCTAGTACCACAGGGGTTCAAAATGCCGCTTACACGACAAAAACTCAGGCTTGCCTGAGCCTGCCTGAAAGGACGAAGCCGGGTACCCGGCGCTTTTGCAGTGGGGTTCCTGGTTTCACTTGTTGCAACAAGAACATGAGCATGCCGCACGACATCCTGCTTCGCAAAACGTTCCTGGCAACTTGCATCTGCTGGCGGTCGCGAAATATGTGCTGTTTCTCTCTTTTGTTTTGCTGACACGTCGTTTTGCACTCTTCTCCTGAGGTCTAGACTCCGCTCCTGCGAGCCACGATGCCCGAGCTCGGTCTGGCAGCCCGAAGCTTGGTCTGTCTTCATTCTGCCCGGCAAAGCCTGCGAAGCGGTCTTGCAAGCTGGGTTGTGTGACTGCTGCGGCCGTGGTCGTATAGAAGCTGTGAGTCATGCCATGGCAGGAGCTTGGGACATTCTAAGTCTAAGGTCTAGGGCCATGGCCAAAGCTTGCACGGGGCTCCTTAGGCTTAGGACCGAGCTTCAAAGGGCCATGGCGAGGAGCTCTGGCTCAGCCTCCAAAGGTGGAGGCAGAGGAGGAGCCCGGAGAGGGAAGGGCAACACTCGGCAGAATAAAAAGGAGACCAAGAGAGAGAAGTTGAAGAAGCAGCGATACGAGGCATCGCGTCCGAAGTGCAGCAGACCGAGAGTTCGTTTGCCTCCCGGCTCTTACATGATCCTCCCCTTCGCAGAGCCCCGGGACGATGATGTTTTCTTCGACGATATTGTCTTCAAGAAGGAGGTCCTGGCAGACGTCGTGGTCAAGCAGGAGCCGAAAGACGATGTTGTCTTCAAGAAGGAGGTCGTGGCAGACGTCGTGGTCAAGAAGGAGCGGATTGCGCTGCCAGCTCCGAATGTGAAGAAGGAGGCTGGTCCGGCTCCAGAGCAGAAGGAGTGTGCTCCGGCTCCAGTGGGCAATGGCAAGGAGGAATGTGGCTCCACATTCCAAGTGGGTGACGTCCAGGACCACCCGTGGGTCAAGAAGTTGTTGGAGAGGAGACTCGGCTTTTTCTGGACACTGCAGCCTGTATAGACAATACTGCATACTCATGTGCCAGCCCAGGTTCAGGGCCTTGAGGACATCCTTTCAGCACACGTGCACAGACTTGGAGGAAGTCATTGCGGAGAAGAAAGAGCTGCAGAGAGCCATGGCTCAGTCTGGTCTGTGTTTCCGAATGTTTCCGTGGCAACGGAGCTCAGAAGAACCCTCAAGTAACTTCCGAGGACAACTAGATGCGGCTCTCAAGAAAGGCCCGCAGCTTTGTGCCTTGACTGCTACCAGTCAGTCAGGCGGTCCCCTGCGAAGTGGACCTGCCTCAAAAGATCTCCCTGGCTTCCTCAGGTTCCGTGTGCCGCAAAGATGTGTTTCGCCGGGGAGGTCCTTTCTCGTGACCTGGTTCCGAGAGACAAGAACACTGGGGGTCGAAAAGAAGTGTTGCGAAGATGCCTTCCTCGGCTGCATGTGCATGCATGTACGGTGCAACAGTGCCCTGGGCCACTGATTGGCTCATTCTCCCTGGGACCCCAAACCCGGGATGCAGTTCCAAGTCGAGGTCGTAGGAGAAGATAGTGGCTCAGCGGCTAGACACCGAAAAGTAGGTCACAGAGCAAGATAGCAGAAACGCCAACAGTTCACGTCCGGTGGGCTGACTGCAGCCTTGCGGGCGAGGCTTGTACTAGTCCTGCTGCAGGGGATTCAGAAATTCTGGTGGCAAGTGTTCACGTCCTTCTCGAGTTTGCATTTTTCCAGGAGTCAGGCCTCCGTGCAGTCCAGTGTCCTCTGGAGCTCAGTCCCCTCAGCAGGGTCCAAGGCCAGGACCTAAAGGAAAGAGGGGCTTGGGAGAGAATGAATTAAAAGACCAATTCTTAATACATTCTATCCCCTTGGAGTCCAAGGGGATAGAATGTATTAAGAATCAGGGGCCCCAGGAGGACCAGCTGACACTGCCGTGTCACCCTTGCAACCATTTCTGCAGCTGAACAAGCAGTCGGTCTTATTACATTCTATCCCCTTGGACTCCAAGGGGATAGAATGTATTAAGATTTCTTTTTTTAATTCATTCTGTCCCCAGTGCCCCT